CGGGTGCCCCGCCCCTCTGCTGACGCACCCCTCTGCTGACATGCTCCTTTGATCACCGCCCCCCTGGTGCTCCTCCCCCTGTTGTCCCGCCCCTCTGGAGACACACCCCTTTGGTGACGCCCCTCTAGTGCCCCTCACCTCTGGTGGCCGCCCCCTACTGCTCCTCCCCTCTGATGCCACGCCCTTCTTATGCCCATCTCACTGGTGACACGCCCCTCTGGTGCGCCTCCCCTCTAGTGACCGCCCCTGGTGCTCCTCCCCTCTTATGCCACGCCCCCACTTGATCACTGCCCCCCTGGTGCTCCTCCCCTCAGATGCTCCGCCCTCCCGTGCTCCTCTGGTCGCCCCGCCCCTCTGGTGACACGCCCCTCGGGGGACCGTCCCCGGATGCCCCGCCCCTCCGATGCCCCGCCCCTCTGATGCCCCGCCCCTCTGCCCTCCAGGTATGGTACATGGACGGCTATTACAAAGGCCGGCGCGTGCTGGAGTTCCGCACCCTGGGCGACTTCATCAAAGGGCAGAACTTCATCCAGCACCTGCTGCCGCAGCCGTGGGCGGGCACGGGCCACGTGGTGTACAACGGCTCGCTGTTCTACAACAAGTACCAGAGCAACGTGGTGGTCAAGTACCACTTCCGCTCGCGCTCGGTGCTGGTGCAGCGCAGCCTGCCCGGCGCCGGCTACAACAACACCTTCCCCTACTCGTGGGGCGGCTTCTCGGACCTGGACTTCATGGTGGACGAGAGCGGGCTGTGGGCCGTGTACACCACCAACCAGAACGCGGGCAACATCGTGGTGAGCCGGCTGGACCCGCACACCCTGGAGGTCGTGCGCTCCTGGGACACCGGCTACCCCAAGCGCAGCGCCGGCGAGGCCTTCATGATCTGCGGCGTCCTCTACGTCACCAACTCGCACCTGGCCGGGGCCAAGGTCTACTTCGCCTATTTCACCAACACGTCCAGCTACGAGTACACGGACGTGCCCTTCCACAACCAGTACTCGCACATCTCCATGCTGGATTACAACCCCCGCGAGCGCGCCCTGTACACCTGGAACAATGGCCACCAGGTGCTGTACAACGTCACGCTCTTCCACGTCATCAGCACCTCGGGGGACCCCTAGGTGCCCCCCCAGGGCTGCCGGGGGAGGGAGGGCCCTGCCCTGGCTACCTGTGTCCCCCCTGAAGCTCTGTGTCTGTCGTGCCCTCTTCCCCCGCCTTTCCCTCCCCCCACCTCTCTTCCCCGGGCTTTTGCTCTCTGCGCGCCACCCCCTCCCCCCCCATCCAGTCCTATTTCTATCCATCCCTTTCTCAATTCGGTGTGTTCTTTATTGATCTCTGCTTTTGATATGCCACTTCTTGAGTCTTTCTTGCCTTTTTATTGAAGTCCCTGCTCTTTCTTTTGATTGATGTGATCCTCCAACTTCTTTCTCTCCCTCTTCTCTCCTCCCCTCCCTCTTTCCTTCCCACCCCCTCCCCCATCTCCCCTCTCCCCTCCCCATCCTTTACCCTTGGAGTTGAGTGCATGGATCTTTTTATTTTGATTTTTATTTACACATTTCCCTTCCGGGTTACCGGAATAAATGGGACCTTTGACATTTGATGCTTCTTCCGCTCGTCTGTGTTATCCAATGGTGGCAGAGGTTGGAAGGGAGGTGGGGTGGGTGTTTACCCCTGGAGACCTATTTCTGCAGTGTCCCCATCCCTTAAAGGGCTAGAATCCCCTCCCCCCCTTCTCCAGGTAAGCCTTTGTTAGACACAGGTGAGAAGCCCCAACCCAAAACGTACTTCTGTCCAAAGCAACTCCTTTGAAAGCAATTGGATCAAAACTGAGAATTCTATTACAACGATGAAAATTGGCCTCAAATGAATATTCTGTGTCACCCGCTGTTCACTGATCGATCACCCTGGCAATCACTGAACTGTCTGGCAGTCTTTTAATGTGTCTGTTAACAATTTGGCTGCTTCTAAGAATCTGGGAAGGAAAGGTTAGCGTCCTGTCCCAACTGATCCTTTCATCTTTTTTGCTTGGTAATTTCAAAAACCATTTTTTAGCCTGGTGCTGGTGGCTCACACTTGAAATCCTATCTGAGGATTGTGGTTCAAAAAGCCAGCCTGGGCAGGAAAGTCCATGAGATTCTTACCGATAATTAAGTTCCAAAAAGTTGGAAGTGGTGCTGTAGCTCAAAGTGGTAGAATGCTAGCCTTGAGCACAAAAAGCTCAGGGACAGTGCCCAGGCCCTGAATTCAAGCCCCAGGAGGACTGGTACACACACACACACACACACACACACACCAACCAAACAACAAAATGACTCCTTATTAGACAAGTCAGGCCTCTTCTGAGACACAACAGCCTATAGATGCACTTGGCCTTGCCTACAGCATAGTTCATACCCAGAAGGACTCACGTAGGGATGGGCTTCTAGAGGAGAGACCAGGCCAAGACAGGAAGTATCGGAGAAGAGGAGGGGCTGGGGTGCCACAGAGGGCAAAGAACAAGATGAGGGCCACATCTGTCTGGACTGAAGCTGGAGCAGAGCAAGCGGGCAGAGGAGGGACTAGCAGGAAGGACTGCAGGGGGTGGGGCCAGGTTGGCTCAGTGCTATGCACAGAGAACCTGCGAAGATCCCTCCTGCACCATCGCTGGGAGATGGCTGCTGTCCCCATCTGTAACTAATGGTCTCCATGATTAAATCATCTCCGGTACCCAGACACGGGGCCATATTGGGAAGGAAACCCATGAATAATAAATGGGGCTGCCTAATGCACTCATTTAAAATCCATTTTTAAAGAAATCCCCAAGAAGAGCAATTAATTTCCATGTAAATGAGCAAGGGTGCTGATGGAGGGCCGGGGAGGGTGCTCCTGCCCCATAGCATCGGGCTCGTTACCCAAGGGAAGGTGTGCACCCGAGGGCCACTGAGACCCAATCTTTGTCCTCACCACGCTCAGACTTGGGACCCACATTCTCACTGAGGACAGGGCTATGTTGTCACATCTAGACCCCACGTCCTCAGAGAGGCCCCGTTTCTATACTTCCATGCTTGTGGCCTTTGTTCCCACAAAGGATGAACACAAGGACACGCGCACACACAATGTGCACACTCAGGATTGTGTCTGCTTGTTAGCGGGCCAGCTGTGGGTAACTCAACTCCCCCCATCACAGATGTGCACCTGGCTATAGCTCAGGAACCCCAGGGCACTTGAGGTCATCTGCTCTAGCCCAGCCTGGGGCAGGGGGGGGGAAGGGAGGGGCAGAAAAGCCAGGGCTGGCACATGGCAAGGGTGCAGTCAATTCTCTGGGATGGGGGAAATTTTGTCAGGGAGCTGGCTCAGAGGCAGGGCACCTGCCTGGGGTGTGAAGACCCTAGGTCCCATCCCCAACACCACAAAAAATAATGGCGAATAAAGACCACACAACCACAGACCTAGAGGCCTGGGACTCCCTGCCCCAGTTCCAGGTAGGAGGGGAAGAGTGGTGTAGAGAGGAGTCAAGTTCTTCTATTGCTAGCTCTTTTTTTTTCTCTCTCTCTCTCTTTTGTGCTGATCATGGGCTTAAACAAGTCGGGGCCTGGGCTCTGTCCCTGAGCTTTTTGCTCAAGGTTAGCGCTCTACTCCAGGAGCCACAGCGCCACTTCTGCCTTTTCTTTAGTGTTAACTGGAGATGATCTTACAGACCTTCCTGTCCAGGTTAGCTTTGAACTGCCATCCTCAGATCTCACTTTTCTGAGTAGCGGGGATTACAGGTGTGAGCCATGGGCTTTGTCAATGTTATTGCTTAGGCTTTAGCCACTGTACAGACAGTGAAGGAGGCTGGGGTTCAGCCACAAGGCCACACACAGTCAAATGCAGACACACACTCATGTCCCCCCATAGCCTTTTTCTGCAGACCTCTGTTGGGGCATTTCTGACAAGGGGAGTAGGGCAGAGGGCTGGGCATCTGTCAGTCAGGATTAGGGCCCTGGACGCCCACCCCTCACTTCCTCTTTCCAGACCTGGCCCAGCTATAATGGTTGCCCACAGTCCCCTGAGCGGTGAGAACATACTGGCTGGAGTTGCAGCCTGGAAAGCCAGCTCTGCCCAGCGCAGCAGCTCTGCTCAGCACAGCGCAGCCGGGAAGAAACTCATTAAACCGTCTTAATGACAAATGCTCCAGCAGGCGGCTGGCAGAGAGAAGCGATGGCTCTGGCTCAGGTGACTGTCGTGAGACTCAGCCGTGGGGGGGGGGGGGGGTCCCCCGGCTCCAGCTTTCTTGTCTGAGAGCTCTGCCAGCTGCAGCGGCTCCCACCCTCATGCTGGCTGGTCCCCAACAAGAGGAGTGGGGCACCATCATAGGATCTACTCTCAATGCTGCCCCCCGCCCCCTGCCAGCCTGGAGGCAGCTGTGTGGAGGTGCCGGGGGATGGGGGCACACGGAAGTGAGGGAGAGCCCAGCTCCCCATCATTTTAGCCCCTGCCATGGGCGTCCCCTGGACTCCACCAGCCTTAGGAGGCTGCCTCCAGGATCCCTGCTCAAGAGGTGCCAGCAGCAGCTCCCTCCCTTCCAGGGGGAAATGGAGGCGTTACCATGGTAACAGCATCCGTGCTGGGTGCTGGACCAGCCGCTACAGCTGGACCCAGGAACAGCTCTCCAGAAGGCCTAGCTGTGGTGAGGATGCTGGTACCCCACGGGATGGGAGGTGGGGGAAGGAGAGGCGTGGGCGCACTCTCTGTATGAAGGCCTGGGCCCCAGCTCTGAGCCTTGTTCTCCTAGGACCCTCCCCGTCCCCCTTATCTCCCCCCAAGTCCTGCAGGATAGATGCTGGGAGGCCCAGCCCTGCATCCAGGAGAGCTTGGCACCCTGAAACAGGAGCACTGGCTGTCCCAGGAGGAATACCTGCCAGACTCAGAAGGAAGGGAGGTTTCTGGGGCAGGAAGGGCAGAGCTTGGACACAGGGGCATGAGGAAAAGGGAAGGTGGACAGTGCCCCGCCCCCCTGGGGACAAAATGAGACACAGGCCTTGGAGCAGTGGTTCTGGCTTTAATGGGGACGCGAGGGGGCCCCGTGGCTCTGGCCCCCGGCATCTGCTTTCTGCAACGGAACAGAGGAGCTAGGCAGAAGGAGAATCAAGTCCGGGTCCTCCTGCCTGCCCCTGGGACTGGGAGTGGGGAGGGGGAGGTGTAGACTAGGCCCTCTCCCCTGGGACTGAGGGGGGGGCCGTCTCCCCACCCCCTACTGCCCTTCTGAAGGCAATTCCTTCAGGGGGAGAGTGGGAGGGACAACTCCAACTGCACACACACACACACAGGCAGCGGGAAGCCCAGAACCCCCTTGAACAGCCCACCCCGCCCCTTGACCAGCCATTTTGGAAACAATAAATATTGTGGCGGGACAAGGTGTCCCGCAGGCTGGCGGCCCTCCGCCCTCACTCTGTGCGCAGGATGATATGGATGCCGGAGTCCGTGAACACTGGGCCGCTCATCTCCCCCGTCCGCAGGGCGAAGGAGGCGTCTTCAAATGGCTTCTGCATCTGACCTGGAGATGGGAAGGGGAGGAGAAGGGAGGAGGAGGGAGGGCAGAGGAGGGGAGAGGAGGGGAGGGGAGGAGAAGTGAGGGGAGGGGGAAGCATCCAGGGAAGCAACTCAGGTTGGGCTGCTCTGGCAGATGGGGCTCCGGCCTGCGTGCATTTATCATGGAGCTTATGGCCCTGTCACAGCTGAGCTGCAGCCCAGCCGGGGGTGGCAGGGCCATTAAAGCAGCCCTGGGAAGCCCGAGGCGGCATGAGGGATGGCGGGCAGAGCAGCCGCCACTGCTGTGCGTTTAGAGCGATTTCCATGATGAACTCATCCTAGCTGCTCGTATGTCACCTGTCCCCGGCAGTCCCTTGCTCACGTCCCTCCCCGCTCATCTTAGGCTCCTCTCTGCAGCTCCACAGACCACTAGGATCGAGGAGGACGAAGCACAGAGGTGGTGGAGGTGGAGGTGGAGAAGGAGGCAGTGAGCTTCCAGACATGGGCGGCCTAATCTGGGTGCTGCCCACCTCACTTTGGTCTCCTCCCCTCCTGTGAGGTGGGGAGCAATCTGGGGGACAGGCCCTGGGGTCTCCTCCTACCTCAGCCCAGAGGAGCAGGGCAGTGTCAGAACCTGAAGGGAGCTGTGCTGCCACCTAGTGGGCTGCAGAGGTAGGTGCAGCAAGGACCCAGGCCACTGGGCCACCAACCAACCCCCTCTCCCCCCAGCCCTCCCAGCTCCTCTCATCTCTTGGGCCGAGGGTGTTGCTGGGCCCCTGCCCACCTCTGCTGAAGGCCCCAAGGTCTCCTCTGGCCTTGGCTGAGCTGCAGTCACTGAACTGTGAGGCCAGAGACTCAAAGTCCTCCTCGCCGGACTTGATCTTCTGGATGTAGCCTGTGGGGACAGAAGGGGCCCAAGTCACAGGAGTACCCTGCTTGAACTCCAGAGGCAGGCCAGGGGAGAGAGGAGTTACCTCCACGCGGTCACAGGGCAGAGAGGCCACTCCCCACGTGTGAGATTGTGGACAGGGGCGTACAGGTGTGGCCCCCATGGGGCTCCCTCCTGGGTGGGAAGTGAAGGCGCCTGGCATTCGCACGAGGCGCTGGGTGCGGGAGGGCTGTGCATGTGTGATCCGCGCATGCGCATTCCTGGGTTCCTGGGCTGGGCAAGCACGGGGGCCTGTGACACAGACACGGGGCAGCCCACCCTGTCTGCCTGCTGCCGGGCACTCGTGGGCATCTCGATCTTCCCCTGGGCTCCCAGGGCAGTGGAGCTGGGCCTGAAGCACTTTGCTGATCAGCTGGCAGCTGCTCTTTGGGGCACAGAGGACCCGCCCACCCTGCCTGGCTGAGCCACGGGGCATCAGCTCATGGTGTAGTGAGGGTTGTGGGGGTCACAGAGTCTCACCATGAACCCAGGCTGGCTTCAAACTCTATTTTTTTTTTTTTCCGGTTGGTCGTGGGGCTTGAACTCTGGGCCTGGGCGCTGTCCCTCAGCTCTTCAGCTCTCGGCTAGTGCTCTACCACTTGAGCCACAGTGACACTTCCGGGTTTTTCTGCTTACCGTGGTGCTGAGGAATGGAACCCAGGGCCTCATGCATGTAAGGCAAGCACTCTACCACTGAGCCACCTTCCCAGTCCCTGGCTTCAAACTCTTGATCCTGCTGCTGCTGCCTTGCAGTGCTGGGATTACAGAAGTGCTCTACCGCCCCTGGGTTTATGGTGTTCTTTCCTGTCTGAGTCACACAAGGCTTCCTTCCACACACCTGTCACCCTACCTGCTGCGGACCGACATTCCACTGGGTACCCAAGGGAACCCCTCAGCACCCCCCTCCCCACCCCAGAACATGACTGGTGCTGAGGCCAACACCCCACCTTGATGTCTGCTTGACTCAGCCAAGTCAAACTCCCCAGGAGCTCCTGGGCCTCAGATTTCTGAGGGAGGTCAATGCCCCATGACCCAGCCGACTGGCACTGTGGTAGGCACTGTGTGACGGGCGGCCTATCCAGTAGCCACCTAGGTGTGTGACCTGCTTCTGCAAGAGCACAGAACTGGCCACACCACAGACCATGGTGACAGGAGCACAGTGCCCAGCGCTGAGATCCTGACAAACGCCACCACCCACCACCAGCTCTCTTTCCTAGGGTCCACAGTCCAAGGCTGCAGCTGCCTCTGCCTGTGTCCACGCTGCCCGGCAGATGCAGCCACCACCAGGAGGCGCTGGCTGGCGCTATCAGGACAAGCCCAGGGCACACACAAGCCCCCTTCCTGTTGGCCTGCACACTGCAGAGGCTTCTCCTTGTAAAATCCTGGTAGGGTCACATCTCCTGCTTGTCCTCCCATTCCTTGGGTTCACCCACAGAGCCCCAAATTCCCGTGCCCGCCTTTCTACATGGAGCACAGTAGCCATCCACTGCTCTGGGCATCTGCCTACCTCTCAGAAGCAGGAATGGATATAGACATCCAGCGCCCACAGAGCCAGCCCCAGACCCGATCCTCAATGAGTGTCACCTTGTTGCCTCTCCCAGCAGCTGGGGCTACAAGGGTCCCCAAGATAGGAGGGCCTAGGATTCTCCACACATGCACATACACAGGCGATACCCATTTCAGAACCAGCAAACCGGCTGGGGGTGGTGGTGCATGCCTGTGATCCCCGCCCTTGGAAGGCAGAGGTAGGAAGATCTCGGATTTTAGGCCAGCCTGGCAACCTAGTGATCGAGACTGTCTCAAAAAGAAGAAAAATGAAGAAGAGGAAGAAGAAACACCGTAAAGATAGGAAAGGTCATGGGAAGACACGGGCGCCAGCGATGTGCAAACCCAGAGACCTGATTAGAAACTGAATTGGCTGAAGCCTGATCTTGGACCTCTAAACTAAACCACTGGTGTGTGGTGTTCTACAAGGGCAACCCAGACCAATTACTTACTTCAGGGAGAGTGAATGAACCAAAGGCTGGCTGGGACCCTAAAAAGGTGCAGTGACATGCGCCAGCCCTCACTCACCCAATCACTAGGCTGCGAGTTCAGAGGGGCCCAGGCAGGGGATGGCCAGGAAGAGAAGGGAGAGATTCATCTGCTGTCCCAACAAAGCCAAGGTCTGGCCTAAGCTAGCAGGCTGAAAGCACTCTAGCACGCTGCAGGAGCCCGATGCTCCCTCAGGGCATGGGCATGCTCCATTCTGGGCCTCCCTGGGACCCCATCAAGGGCCTGGGTGAGGAACAGTGCGGCTCAGAGCAACAGGGAACGGAGGACTTGTCCAAGGCGTGGCCTGCTCAGTCAGACAAGGACAGTGGCAATGACCCTGGCAGGCCTTCAGGTTCCCGCTGGCCTCTGGCTGCGGCTCAGCAGCTACAGAGGAACATGTGCTGAGACACCTCTGCAGTCCCGTGCTGCTCTGCTGCAGGCAGCCTGCCTCCTGGGCCAAAGAGGATGGCAGGGATGCTCACTAGGCCCTGCCTGCCAGCTGCGGTGGGCACCCTCTCCAGATCATCTCCAGATCACCTAAATGGGTCCTGGTCAGGGAGGGTGACTGAGATCCGGAGCAAGGAGCCAAGTCTGATGGCCAGTGCTGGCCCACGTGAATGCTCTCTCTCTCTCTCTGTACAATGGATCACCCTGCCCCAGGAAGGCCACAGGCAGGACACTGAAGCTAAGAGAGGAAGTTCCTGGGCCAAGAAGCCTCCCTCTACCCCTGCCGGGGTGTCCCACTTGCACACACAGACCAAGTGTGGCAAACCCTGAGCCCCCTGTTCTGGAAGCTTCCTGGGTACCCACAAGCGGCTGCTGATGCTCTCAGGAGGAAGCCACTCACTGGAGGCATCATGGCAGCCACCGAATCAGCCCTGTGCCAGTTGGGGCCCACTCTGCTTCTGATCTTCCATCACCTTCCCCCCCAGTCCCACGTCCTGCCCCCTCAACGTCACTGCCTCCTGATTCTGCTTCCTAAACACAAAATCTGCTCTCACTTCTCTCTGCCTCCCACCAGGCCCCCAACATGGAGCCTCTTCCCCAGAGCCCTCTGCTGGACATGGTATACCTCACTGTTCTAGCTCTGGCTAGCCATTATTTTTGGTAGTAGATCAGTGGCTCATGCCTGTAATCCTAGCTACTCAGGAGGCTGAGATCTGAGGATCGTGAGTTTTGGGGGGGCATGGGAGTCGCTCGTGGGCCTTAAACTCTGGGCCTAGGTGTTGGTCCCTCAGCTTTTCAGCTCAAGGCTAGCGCTTTACCACCTGAGCCACAGCACTAATTCCAGTTTTCTGGTGGTTAATTGGAGATACAGAGTCTCACAGAGGTTCCTGCCCAGGCTGGCTTTGAACTGCAATCCTCAGATCTCAGCCCCCTGAGTAACTAGGATTAAAGGCGTGAGCCACCCACACCAGTCCAGGATCATGATTTGAAACCAGCCCAGACAGGAAAGGCTGGGAGACTCTAACCTCTAATAAACTACTCAGAAAAGGCTGGAAGTGGTGCAGTGGCTCAAGGGATAGAGCACTATTCTTGAGAAAAGAAAAAATCTCAGGGACAGCATCAAGGCCCTAAGTTCAAGCTCCAGCACACACACACACACACACACACACACACACACACACGCACACACACGCACGCACGCACGCGCACGCACACACACACGAACCAGGGCCTCAGGCATGCTGTGCAAGTGTGCTCCCAATGAGCTATATCCCGAGCACTTTGGTTTGTTTTTTTGGGGGGGTTCGGTCCTGGGCGCTGTCCCTCAGCTCTTCAGCTCAAGGCTAGCGCTCTACCACTTGAGCCATAGCGCCACTTCCGGCTTTTTATTTTCTGCTTATGTGGTGCTGAGGAATCGAACCCAGGGCCTTATGCATGCAAGGCAAGCGCTCTACCACTGAGCCACCTTCCCAGCCCAAGCCCTTTGGTTTCTGAGACAAGTCTTGAAAACTGCCCAGGCTGGTCCTCCTCACAATCCTTCCTCTTCTTCCCTAGCCCTCACAGCTCACTTCCCCAGCCCAGCACATCCTGCCCTAGACCTTTCCTGAAGCGACAGGATCCCCAGGGCCCTCCATGGCCTCCCACATCCTGCTGCCTTCAGAACACACATCTTAGGTACCCCTTCCTCAGCCTGGATGGGAGGTGATGCCAGGCCTCTCAGTTCAGGAGGTGAGCAATGCTGCACACAAGCTCCCAGTTCCTTTCCCCAGTGCTCCTGGGTGGGGAGGTGAAAGTACAGATAGCATCGGGAATGTATGCGTGTGCGCATGCGTGCGCAGGCGCAGTATCCCCGGGGCCAATGTTGAGCCCAGCTGTGGGATAGCAGCTCTACCACGGAGAACGAAGAGCTACTCTGGGCCAGGTCCCACACCATCAGGAACACTGGCTCTAGCAGTGTCATCCAACATTCCATGCCCAGGCTGTGGCCCCAAAAGGCCACTAACTGCTAACCCAGGAAAAGGACTAAAACAGCCCAAGGTCCACCAGCAAGGGCCTGGCAGCAGCAAACTGGACCCCAGGTGGAAAGAACCCATCAACGCTGCTGGCGAGCTCTGTGTGCACCTCAGTGGACCAGTAAGTGCCAATGGCCCTCCATGACCACAACACTGTCTGCACAGCGCCAACCAGCTGATGTCACCCATGAGCCCCGCACCACCTCACGGAATGCCGACCATAGCTCTGAAGACAGGTGTACTGTGAGGCCCAGGTCACAGAAAACTGAGAAGACCGAGTCTTGGGAGAGAGAAAAGTCCTGAAGGTTCCCACAGGGACCAAGGCACTGCCACTATCTGATGTGGGCTGGGAAGGTGGCTCAGTGGTAGAGTGCTTGTCTTGCATGCCTGGGTTCGATTACTCAGTACCACATAAGCTGAAAAAGCTGGAAGTGGCGCTGTGGCACAGCACTAGCCTTGAGCTGAAGAGCTGAGGGACAGCGCCCAGGCCCAGAGTTCAGGCCCCATGACCGACAAAAAATAAAATAAAATAAAAATAAAATCCCTGCTGTGCTCACCCTACCTGGTCTGGGTCCTCTGCTCCTACCTGGTTCAATGCAAATAGCAGACTAAAAGAACAGAGAGCCAGGTGTGGCTGTGCATGCCTGTAATCCTAGCTAGTCAAGAGGCTGAGGTCAGAGGATGGCAATCCAAGGCCATCAGGGCAAAAGCTCAAGAACCCACCAGAAAAAAAGCAAAAAGGACTGGGGACATGGCTCAAGTGGTGGAGTGATTGCCTAGCAGGTATGAGGTCCTGAGTTCAACCCCCTGGTACTACCAGAAACAAAAACAAAACAGAAGGCCAGAGAGGCAACTACCTGCACCATGCCCACGAGCCAGTGCCACACTGGGCTGAGCAGGCTGTGGGCGATGGACGCTGTGAGCTCTATGGGGCTACCTGGGCTGCAGGGAAGGAACATCCCCAGCCCCCCAGGCCACTGTCCGGGCCCTGCTCACCGTTGATCAACTCCAGGGCCTCCTCCTTGGTCCGGGTGATCTTCTCCTGCCTCCAGGATGAGGGCCGCCTGGACTGGCTGTGCTTCACCAGTAGGTGTGAGCAGCGGACCCTGGCCGGCTCCCCCTGGCCATTTTTGCTGCTGCCGCCACTGCTGCTGCCGCCACTGGGCCGCTCCCATTGGCTGGCGTTGGTGATGTGGTTGAAGTAGTACACCCGGCCTGCAGGGGAGAGGGTGGGCAGAGGGGGCAGGACTTAGCCAGGGCTGTACTCAGAGGACAGCACCCTGGACCCACTTGATGTCCGCCAGTGGCAACAAGCTCCATAGGCATGAGCAACCATGGAAGATTCAGAGCTAACACAGCAGGCAAAGCTGGACAAGGTCATTGTCTTTGGCTAAGGGACCAGACTGATGGAGGAAAGGAAGCCGGGAGCAGTGAGGGGCTCAGATCATTCAGCCACCAGGTCACCTGGGTTCAAATCTGGCTAAGCTCCTTAGTCTGTGATCCTACCTTCCCTGGGCCTCAGTTTTCTCAAGTGTGAAATGGAGATAAAGGGAACCCTGTCTGTTGGCTCTTGGAAGAACAAAGTTCACACATCTATAAGATGCTTATGAAAAAAGTGAAGCTTTTCTCCCCCCTGGACAGGCTATGAAACTGCACCTTCTGGTGATACGGCGATAGGTGATGTTTCCTCCACACTGACCCTTGCACCAGGCACCTCCACAGGCTGATTGGAGCTCAACTCACCCCACAAGCTCTGGTCTCTGTCCTCCCTGGTGCTCTGGGATGCATGGTTAGAAAACAGCACAGACGTGACCCAGGCACTGAGGAGCAGCAAGGAAAGAGACAGAAAAGATGGGCTGGGAAGGTGGCTCAGCGGTAGTGTTTGCCTCACATGCATGAGGCCCTGGGTTTGATTCCTCAGCATGATATAAGCAGAAAAAAGCTGGAAGTGGTGCTATGGCTCAAGTGGTAGGGCACTAACTTTGAACTGAAGGGCTGAGGGACAGCGCCCAGGCCCAGAGTTCAGTCCCCACAACCAACCAAAAAAAAAACAAAACAAAAGCCAGATTTGGGGGGTCAGTCTAAGGCCTGGGAGGTGGCCTGCGTATATTAGCACTATGAGGAGTTGGGTGTCACCCATGAAGAAGGCTGTCAAGAGTCTCAAAAATGGCCAGAATGCTGAGCGCTGGTGGTTCACGCCTGTAGTTCTAGCTACTCAGGGGGCTGAGATTTGAGGATCACAGTTCAAAGCCAGCCCGGGCAGGAAAGTCTGTGAGACGCTTATCTCCAATAAACCATGAGAAAACAGAAAGTGGCGCTATGGCTCAAGTGGTAGAGCGCTCGCCCTGAGCTGAAGAGCTGAGGGAGACAGCGACCAGGCCCAGAGTTCAAGACCCACGACCAGGGGCTGGGAAGGTGGCTCAGTGGTAGAATGCTTGCCTTGCATGCATGAGGCCCTGGGCTCGATTCCTCAGCACCACATAAACTGAAAAAGCCAGAAGTGGTGCTGTGGCTCAAGTGGTAGAGCGCTCGCCTTGAGCTGAAGAGCTGAGAGACAGCGCCTAGGCCCAGAGTTCAGGTCCAAGACCGGCAAAAAATAAATAAATAAATAAAATAAAAAAGAAAAGACCCACGACCAGACCAACAACAACAACAAAAAAGGCCAGAATGGGTCTAGAGATGGGCGGAGCTGACCTAAGATCTCATGATCCTCCTGCCTCTACCTCCTGAGTGCTGGGATTACAGGCGTGCACTACGATGCCCAGCAAACAGCATCAGGTTTATGCTGGACGTTCACTCAGAAAAGGGCTGAAACAGATTAGAGAAAAAGGGTATGATTTTGCAGGAAAATCTAGTTGGCTCTTTAAAAAAAAAATGTGTATGTGTATGTGCTGGTGGCTCATGCCTGTAATCCTAGCTACTCATGAGGCTGAGATTTGAGGGTCTTGGTTCAAAGCCAGCCCAGACAGAAAAGCCTGTGAGACTCTAATCTCCAGTTAATCACAGAAAACGTCAAAAGTGAAGCTGTGGCTCAAGTGGTAAGAGTGTTATCCTTAAGCAAAAGGAGCTCAGGGACAGTGCCCAGGCTCAGGGTTCAAGCCCCAGGACTGGCTTCCCCCTCTCCCCCCCACAAAAAAAATTGTGTGCTACTCCTGGGGCTTGAACTCAGAGCCTGAGTGCTGTTCCTGGGCTTTTCTCAAGGCTAACACTCTATCTACCACTTGAGCCACAGTGCCACTTCTTACTTTTTCTGTAATTGGAGGGCATAGTCTGATACTCAAATATCAGCCTAGAATTGTAGTCTTTAGTCAGCAGCACCCAGCTTACTAAATGACTCTTAAAACTTTAGCTATGAGCTTTCATCTGAAAGATGGAGGTGAGAGTAGAAAGCTATCAAAGATAATGGGGTTAATGTGGACAATGGAAGTATGCAAGGTGTTCCCGGAGAGCCTGATATTCAATCAATAAGAATGATTACTGCGACTGGGATTACTATGGACTCTGGAGGGTAACAGTGACCCCTGATGCGAGGTCTGCTTCTCTGGGTGTTAACAGATGCCACCAGAAAGGGGGTTCTGCAGGTAGTGACTAGATTCAAATTCAGACCCCGACCCCTAAAATGCATGATGTGCATGATCTCGAGTGAGTTCCAGTAGTGTCCAGGCATAAATGTCCTCATTTGTAAAAATAGGATGGTTAGCTGGGTGCCAGTGGCTCACCCATGTAATCCTAACTGCTCAGGAGGCTGAAATACGAGGATCGCAGTTGGAAGCAGCCTAGGCAGAAAAGTCCGTGAGACTCCAGTTAACCAGCAAAAAGCTGGAAGTGGAGCTGTGGCTCAAGTGGTAGAATGTCAGCCTTGAGGGGGGGGAAAATAAAAAGCCAAGGTACCGTGCCCAGGGTTCAAGTTCAAGGCCCAGGACTGGTACAAAAATAAAAATAACAACGAAAAGGAACTGTTTTAACTGCATCCTTCCCAGAGAGTTGTACCAATTCAGAGAGAACTTAGACTGGCACGCTGCCTGGTGCAGAAATAAACGTGCACAGTTACTAGCAATACTACTATGATGAATCTTCACCTTGAGCGATAGGTGCGGACCGCGGGGGAGACACCGGGCCACGCCCTTTGCAAGGTCTTGGGGTGACTTCCTCCCAAGGGGGCCCTTCCCCGGACCTAGCGGGATGCAGAGATGCATTCGGCGACAAGACCATGACCTTCACCCCGGACGACGACGCGAGCCCCCCAAGTCCCTCACCCACCCAGCCCCGCCCCCTGCCTCAGTTTCCCCGGGACTCGTAGCCCCACAGGCCGTTACCCTAGGGGCGACGCCGAGGAAGAAAGGCCCCGAGGGACAACAGTGGCTGTCCCGCCGTGCCCGAGGGGGCGAGCACGAGCCCTAACTTCCGCAGGCTCGCGCGGCCCCGCCCCAGCCCCGACCCCTACGGCACCTGAGCTGCGGCTCATGCGCTTCTCCCAGCCGGGCGGCAGCTTCTCCTCATCCGCCATCTTCCTCCTGCCGCAGCGCCTGCTCCGCCTCCGCCGCACCGCCTGCGATCTGTGCCCGCCCACCACCGCTGTTGATTGGTTCGCTGAGTCCAGCCCTAAGGCAGGTTGACAACAGCCATTGGACACTCTAACCGTCCCGTCTGGTATTCTGGCTTCTTATTGGACAAGAAGCAACGACGGGCGGATCTACCACGGTTTACCTGAGCCCCGCCCCCGGGCGGCCTCATGCGGGCCCCGCCCCATCCCTCTTTCTCAGTAATCTAGTGGTGGGAAGATTAGGGGAGCCCGCCTTTTCAACGCCCTTCGGCAAACGGCGAAGCCCGACCCCTCCTTGGCGCTCCTAGCCGCAGAGCCCATCCGGGCGAGTGTCCTGATTGGCTGCCGAGGCCGCAAGTCCCGCCTTCCCGAGCCGTTCTGCAAGGCCCGCAAGTCCCCACGCGGAAGCGGCGACCAGGTCTGGAAGTCAGTAGCAGGAAGCTGCCTTTCCTGTTGTCTTAGCAACGCAGTTGCCTTAGTGACCAGTAGCTAAGTGCAAAGCTTAAATTTGGCAGCGCCATTCTCCCCCTTCGCACCCGTTTCCTCCAGCTGTCCAAGGCTAACCCTGCTCCTTTTGTTTTTGCAAGGATAACCATTTCTGCTACAGACTCAAACACGTTGTCTTTTTGCAAACAACTTCAACCGAGTCCCTCTCCACCTGGCTTCCTTCTCCGTCCTGGATGACTGGTGGGTGATGGCATTGCCACTCAGATGAGAAAATTGGAGACTTGGGTGGGAGGAGAATGAGGTTAATTTTACGTCGATTTATTTATTTATTATTTATGATGCTGGCCCTGGTGCTTGAACTTGGGCCTGGGTTCTGTCCCTGAGCTTTCTTGTTCAAGGTTAGTGCTCTACTACTTGAGCCATAGCTCCACTTTCAGAGTTTTGCTGGTTAACTGAAGAGAGGCGTCATGGATTTTCTTGCCCGGGCTGGCTTCCAACCTCAATCCTCAAATTTCAGCCTCCTGAATAGCTAGGATTATAGGCGTGAGACCCTGGGGCTCTACCAAACTCTTGTGATGAATTGAAAACATCTTTCTGTGTGTTTACTAACGGGCAAGAGCCCAGTTGTCTGACAAAAACACAAAGGAAGAAGTGAATGACAAGCCAACCTAAGCCAGCTGTCTGTGGCTCTCACCTATAATTCTAGCCACTCAGGAGGCTGAGATCTGAGAATTCAGGTTGGAAGCCAGCCTGGAAGATGGAGGACAGATCACCTTCAACTAGCTCCAGGCCAAAAGCATTCAAATCCAGTTCCCCTAGAACAAATCATGCTAAGTGAAGTAAGCCAGGTTCAGAGAGACAAATGTGCATGTTTCTCTCTGATATGTGGACAGATCTAAAATATACTCACTGGGATAAGTTATACAGGATTCTAGATATTCACACAATGATACCAATTGAGGATACTCTTAGGAGAGAAGCACAAAGGCACAATGCCTATGTGCCTCTGCATATTTATATAAAATAATACACATAGTGAAACAAATTCCACGATATGGAAACAGACCTTTTTTTTTTTTTTGGTTGGTCGTGGGGCTTGAACTCTGGGCCTGGGCGCTGTCCCTCAGCTCTTAAGCTCAAGGCTAGTGCTCTATTACTTGAGCCACAGCACCACTTCCTGTTTTCTGGTGATTTTTCTGGAGAGTCTCATGGATTTTTCTGCCTGGGCTCGCTTTGAACCACAATCCTCAGATCTCAGCTCCTGAGTAGCTAGGATTAAAGGTGTGAGCCACCAGTGCCCAGCTTTGATTCTGTCTTCTTTACCTTATGGATAGTATATTCAAGTGTATATCTTTGGAAGGGTTGAGGAGGGAAGGCATAGACTGGAGGGAAAAAGGTGAGCAGTGGAGCTCACTGGACACTGATGAAAGTGAATTATACAACTGGAGAGTGGAGACGGGAGGGAAGGTCTGGGACTGAGGAAACAGAAGACACAGTACGAAAGGAGATGTACTCTACCTGATTCAGGTAGTTGGAATCCCTCTGGATATCACAGCTATAACAATAATTTTAAAATAATCCAGTACCCAAGAAAGGAGGCAGAAGGCTGGAACTTGGGGGAGTGGAGGTGCAGTGGTCAAGACTTGGCAATGTTTTTGTACTGAGGATCACAAGTCCCTAAGGAGAGAATGGATGCATGAAGCTAAGAAAGGCTTCATAGTGAGGCTGCATCTAGGTTCCTCTTCCAATCCAGGCACAAGGCCAAGATCTACAGGGAAAGAAGTGAAGGGCATTGGGCTTCAAGTCTCTGGAAACACCAGAGATTGTGGATGTTTACAAATGTTTTATGTTTTTCTTTTGTTTGTTTTTCAATCTACCCTCTACAGCATACCAATGAAGCAGATGTGAAAATGTGGTGAAGTCTGGTGTGGTGGTTACATACCTGGAATCACAGCACTCAGAGGATGAGGCAGTGTGATTATGAGTTTAAAACCAGCCCGGGTTACAGGCCGGGGGCCGGTGGCTCACGCCTATAATTCTAGCTACTTAGGACTGAGATTTGAGGATCCAGTTCAAAGCTAGCCTGGGCAAGAAAGTCCGTGAAACTCATCTCCAATTAACCACCAGAAAACCACAAGTGGCGCTGTGGCTCAAGTGGTAGAGTTCTAGCCTTGAGCTGAAGAGCTGAGGGACAGCGCCCTGGTCCAGATTTCAAGCCTCACAACTGAAGGGGGGGTGGGGGGGTGGGAGGAGTGGCGGCGAAAGGGTTTGAGGCCAAGTTCAAGTCCTGGTACTACTACCTCTCCCTCCAAAAATACCCACAACACATTAAAAGAGAAACACAGTTCCAACTTAGAAAAGTAAGGCTGTCTTGGTCTGTTTTCTGTAGCTATAACTGAATACTAGGGGTAGGGTTAATTTGTAAAGAGTAAGTTTGTCCAGTTTCTGTGGCTCATGCCTGTAATCCTAGATACTCAGGAAGCTGAGATCTCAGGATCATGGTTTGAAGCTAGGCCTGGCAGAAAGGTCTTCGTGAAACTCCTATCTCCAACTAACCACTCAAAAACTGGAAGTGGTGCCGTGGCTCAAGTGGTAGATTGCTAGCCTTGAGCACAAAGCAGCTCAGGGACAGCGTCCAGGCCCTGAGTTCAAGCCTCACAACAGACCAAAAAAAAAAGGTAACAGTTTACAGAAAGCTAAGTAACAGCAGAGAATTTATTCACAAAGTGAAAGGAACATACAAGAGATAGAAACAAGTTAACAGACCCCTCCTTTTTTTTTTTTTTGCCAGTCCTAGGGCTTGAACTCAGAACCTGGATGCTGTCCGACCCTCTTTGTGCTTTAGGCTAGAACTCTACGACTTATTCCACAGCGCCACTCCCAGCATTTTTGAGTAGTTTATTGGTGACAAGTCTCTCACAGGGCAGGGTCTTTTCTGCCCAGGCTGGCTTCAAACTGTGATCCTCAAATCTCAGCCTCCTGAATAGCTAGGATTACATGTGTGAGCCTCGGGCACTCAGCTCAGACCCATTCTTGAAGTAATCTATCAATTCCTGAAGCACAGACTTCAGGAGCTTATCATCTCTTAAAAGTTCCATCTGGAGCCACAAATGGTGGCTCAATTCTGTAATCTTAGCTACTTGGGATCAAAGTTCACCCAGGCAAAACAAAGTAACCAAATTTCATATGACCCAATCTCAACTAAGGGCTAGGCATGGAAGAACAGTAGGAGAATTGCAGTCCAAGCTATCCTGGGCACAAAGCAAGACTCTACCTGGAAAATAACCAATGGACAAAAGGGCTGGAGGGTGGCTCAAGTGGTGGAGCGCCTGCCTAGCAAAGCTGTAGAGACTCTGACTTCAATCTTCAGGATGTGGTGGATGGTGGAGGGTACTTGGGGGTGGGAAGCTGGGCTCAACTTAGGATCCTCTTGCTTCAGCCTCCCAAGTGCGGGAATTACAGGTATTCACCACAACTGGGATTCCCTACAGTCGGTTGCTCTTCAGAGACCCAAAGCAAAACTCAAGAGCCCTCAACTGTGCCAGAATAGACTTGTCTATTCCTCCCTGGCTGCTCCAGTCTACCTGAGCTCCCAGTGAGCAAGCTATATCCTGACAGCAGAGTAACAACCAGATGCCAGCCTCCCCTCCCGACACAACCCTCAACAAACACAACAACAGAGCAGCATCTAAGTCTTTATTAATGAGAATTTTTAAAAACAAACATCCATAGCAATGGGAGAGGTGAGGTTGGAGGATGAGGAGAGGACAGGAGGAGGACTTCTCTACTGGTAATAAAGTTCCAGGTTCATTCCATCATGGATTTCATCTGGAATTAACTGCATTAAGGAACTTTCTCTGAGGGGTCTCCAGCCCCCACCCCTCAGCCATTCACAGTTGGAAATCAGGTGGCCAGAGAATCCATTCCAGGGCAAGTGAAACAATTCTGGAGTGGGCAAATTCTGTTTTTGTTTTATTTTTTTTTTTGGGAGGGGGGGGATCAGTAGTGGGCCCTGAACTCTGGGCCTGGGCGCTGTTCCTCAGCTCTTCAGCTCAAGACTAGCACTCTACCACTTGAGCCACAGCCCCCACCTTCTGGCCTTTTCTGTTTCTGTGATGCTGAGGAATTGAACCCAGGGCCTCATGCACATGAAGCAAGCGCTCTACCACGGAGCCACCTTCCCAGCCCAGTTGCTGAGTTCTAATTGAACACTTTAATTTCCCACAGGCTTCAGTGTACAACCAAGAGAATGGGGCTCAGTTCTTTCTGAAGAAATCATGAAAGGATACAATCCCCCAGAGACACATGGTCCTTGAAAATCGTGTACCTATGGGACAGAGACCATTCAGAGAGAGCCCAAGGGAGGCTTTTTGCACTGGAGGGGGCAGGTTGTCCTTCCCCACTCCCTCCAAGGGCTGATTACTGTCTTCCTCCATCCCCCATCCACCACCGTCAAACCTGGTGACATTCAGCCCCGCTACTCTCCCATCACACCATTTTTTTTCTTTTTTGCCAGTCCTGGGGCTTGAACTCAGGCCCTGGGCGACTCTCCCTGAGCCTGTGCT